CTCGCGGGGGGGAGGTGGTGTGAGTTGGATCTAAATCCCCGCCTCTTTTTATGAGCGGCTCATTTACCCGGCCTGGGGGTGAATGAAAAGACCCCCTGGCTTTTCGCATTCGTTTGACACGTGGAAGATGGTCATTATTGGGAACAGAAGCTGAGGATAGCAACACGCACCAGATGCCGGACACTATTCGACAGGTACATGGAATTTGGAGAAGAACCCGCCTTGCAATACCGAAGACAAACTTGCGCACCGGACTCATCGTCATTGAAGCCTGGTTCGGGGGCTACTGAGGGAGTCCTAGATTAGGGGGTGTCCGGATGGCCGGACTATGACCTTTGGCCGGACTCTAGGACTATGAAGATACAAGATTGAAGAATCCGTCCCATGTCCGGATAGGACTTTCCTTGGTGTGGAAGGCAAGCTTGGCGATACGACATGAAGATCTCCTCCCATTGTAACCGACTCTGTGTAACCCTAGCCCTCTCGGTGTCTATATAAACCGGAGCGTTTTAGTCCATAGGACGAACAACAATCATACCATAGGCTAGCTTCTAGGGTTTAGCCTCTCTGATCTCGTGGTAGATCAACTCTTGTACTACCCATATCATCAATATTAATCAAGCAGGAGTAGGGTTTTACCTCTATCGAGAGGGCCCGAACCTGGGTAAAAACATCGTGTCCCTTGTCTCCTGTTACCATCCGCGTAGACGCACAGTTCGGGACCCCCTACCCGAGATCCGCCGGTTTTGACACCGACAACGGCCCCCCAGGAGCCTCAAATGTCACAGTGTCTCATGTCAGCTTGTTGAGTTTCAACCTCACATTGCATGGGACGATCTGTGTAAAAAAGCAAAATGACACAATGCAGTAATGCCAACACTAAAAATAAAATAGTTGTTACATTTCATATAATTTCTTACCGCCGCATGACAAAAACTCGCCTGGAAGTAGATGTCGAACAGCTTGCCAGTTGCAAGGCTGCTAGCGCACCTTGACTTGCACAATCGACATGGTGGTGGTGGTGGTGGCACCATTTTCCTAAAGCAATATGAGCAAAGGATTAACGATCCACTTCACATGAAAGAAAAACAGTAGCATGTGATTTTTTTGGTTCTTCTTCACTTATATTTTCACAGCTAGGTGGTGCCAAATCTTTAGAGCTATCAACTAGCATACTAAATCAACTAAATCAAAATGTTTTATAAATCAACTAAATCAAAATGTTTTATAAATCAACTAAATCAACTTGTGGTCATTTTTTTGTAGCTTATGGTCATTTTTCTGCGCGGGCTCCGACTTTGGGCTCCGTGGAGCTGGCCCAAATTTTGACTACTTGTTTGGGCCCGAGCTTCTAATGGCTAGAAGACACATAAGCTACTGAAAAGAGCCCAAACAAACACACCCTTAATACTTAATGTTGTAGTTGGGTTTTACCTTAATGATCTTTGGTAGTTGCGGATGTTAGCTAGAGTTTCAATCATAAGTGCATATGATCCAAGTACGGAAAGTATGTTAGCTCATGCCTCTCTCTCATATAAAATTGCAATAATGATTACTTGTCTGGTTATCGATTGCCTAGGGACAAATAACTTTCTCTTGTGTTACAAAACCTTTCTACTAAACAACTAACTTTTATTATCTTGCAAATTATTCATAGTTTTATTCTTGCTAAGTACTTCTACTTTTATCCTTGCAAAACTTATCATATCACCTACAAAAATGGTTCCACACTTGTTCTAGGTAAATCGAACGTTAAGTGTGCGTAGAGTTGTATCGGTGGTCGATAGAACTTGAGGGAATATTTGTTCTACCTTTTTAACTCATGTTGGACTCGACACCCTTACTTATCGAAAAAGGCTATGAACTATCCCCTATACTTGTGGGTTACCAGCAGTATCATGCTCGTCATTGATAATCAACCTGTAAATGCCATGTTGTTGTTTGTCTTGATTGTTTTGGCTGTTGTGATCTTGAAAGTACAATCAAAGTACTCACTTGGCATGTCATGCCAGATTGTAGGTCATGTTGTGATTGATTGCCTGCTAAGGATCCCTAAGTTTGTGCACTAGGATACGTTCCAGCCAGAGTCCCTGCGAAGTGGAGTTCATCACCATCGTCATTGTTCCGCTGCTAGAAGTTGTTCCGCTTCCACGAGTTGCTAGCATAGGACTACCTGAGCAGGCATTGAACCTTGTGCCGATGTAATCCTTTGTACTACTTGAGCCCTTGTATCCTTAGCATTTGTAATAAAAGTCGATTTCTTCTAGGCCAAGCAGTGTCGTATTCCAGAAAACTTGATCTTCGGGCTGGAATACGAGGTGTTTTGGTCTCTCTCTGAGCCGGGGTGCCACAGTAAGGAATCCTACAATTGGTCCTGCTCCGATACGAACATGTAATTGCCCATATGCGGTACTATTTCAAAACCATATATGTCCATTCCAGAAAGCGCATATAAAGCCGCTGTAAGCATATGACTTCAGAACCATACGCCTCCAAAATATTGCTAGGGACCTTTTTGGAAAAAGCCAAACTAGTCACCATACGCTCGGTTGGCATGCAAAAATGAAGATGGTAACAACTGCACTATAATTACAGTCTAGTGTTGGACGTACGCATTCACAAAACGTATAGCCAGTTGTATGGCCTCACCAAGGTATCCATGTGGACACGACGACTCGCAAACAACACCGTCAAAGATAATGCTAGGGACTTTTTTGACAAAGTTGTGTGATTGTGACCAACAATGTGTTTACCTTTTTTACTTTTCCTTGATGCCCTCCACTGGATGTGCGCTCGATTGGCATACAACAACGAAAATGGAAACAGATGCATGCTATAATTGCGGGCTAGCGTTGTATGTGCGCTTGACTAGTTGGAGGCAAATATGTAGCATGCAATCGGCTGCATGCAATTACTCCGAGTTAATTTCATTGGCTATTATACCATACACCTAAATCACGCGTCTTTAGCCTAGACATTTTGCATTGGTCCATTAGTTTGAATAACTCACACAATAAATTCGGATGAAGAAAGCATCTCTTAAGTGTCTCCCTATCTGAATATGTGAACCAAACCAGTGTGGCCAAATTCTCACCCCCCCAATAATAGAGCAGTGCTAGGCACCGGGCAGCCACCCAAATTTGTAGCAGGCATCCGATTTGAGAGAGTAGGGCACACCATATCTTTCTTCTTTTTCCTCCCGCACGGCTGAACCCACCCCCACCCCCCACGCCCCTGCCTCCCCCGCAGCAAGCTCGTCAGCACCCCCTTCGCACCCTGTGCCACCACTCCTGTGCTCGTCCTGCTACTACCGGCCACCACTGCTTCCTCATTGGTCATCATGCTCGTCATCTCCCACCGAGGAACAACCCCATGTTGGTCGCGAAAATGATGGCCGAAGTCGTGGCAACAATTTTAATTGTTGGTCGTAGCAAAACAGATACAAGGTATCTGCAACTCTCGCCATGGTGACCGTCACACTCCCTGCGGTCACCTATTCCAGCCAAAAAAGAGTCTCCGATGCAACTCACCGGCTCTATGATTGTGGCACCGTGTGGTCGCTGTCACGCATTGCCAGTCAAGGTTTCCGCTCACTTGTGACCGATTGCAGCATTCACCCTGGGCCCACACTAGATCTTGTCCCCGGGATTCACATCAACCCACCACCGGCATCTCATCGTCGTGAAGAATGGATGTAGCAAAAACCGCCGATATTACTAGGCAAAACCCACACGGTTGTGCAAAACCTGTCGTCTCGCCATCAGGGGTCGCAACCAAGTTGTAAATAGATGTACCAACTAATTCGTTGGCAGTAGCAAAAAAAGTTGTCGGTAGTAGCTTTATTCATCGGAAACTACAACATCCATATTCGCTGGTTTCAGCAAAATGTGTAGCTCGTGGTCACCGTCGCCTAAGCTCCTCTGCATTTGTAACATCGACACCTATGTCGTTGGCGGTTGTTACTCCCACGTGAAAAGGGTTGCGGCTCTGCGTGAACGTGGATGTATAGCTTTTGCCGGGTATGGGTGTAAACAAACGATTACGGTGTTGTTGGCTACAACTCTGGTTTCAACAAAAAAAATTATGCCGGTCGTGGCCGTCAACCTCGCGTTATGCGTAGTCAGTTCCAGGAAATTGTGCTGCTGGTTCTAGAAAAAG